ATTACAAAAAGAACACTTATTTTATAATGGCAACAAAATTTTACCTTGTTATTTACAAAAAGTAAGTAAGCAAATAAATGTGTACCGCCGCTAAATAAAAAAATTTACAATATTTTGTTCATTTAACAAAAAAATTGTATTTTGTTATTTTAACAAAATAATTCAATGATAATCAGCTATTTGTGTTTAATTATTTCTTTTTGGTTACTATTACTATATCTTTTTTCTTATTAAAAGGAAAATTAAGGAGAACCAAAATATAACGTCATTATAACGTCATTATGACGATGTCATAATGACGTTATAATATCGGTTGGTCACTTTTTGGTCACTTGACGTCATTCGTACCAACATGACCAGAATTTGACGTCAAAATGACGTGTGTTTGCTACCTGGGTCATAATCGTTATATAACGAATGGAACACACACACGGGCAGGCGGGTGCAAGGGGGTGGCCTTCGGCCACCCCCCGCACCCACACCGTCGACAGAGGTCTGCCCCGACAGTACCATCATAGCAACAGTACAATCGTCGTGTGCCTCTGTACAGTTCTGTTAGACAGTGCGTTTATTGAAGTATTATAGTGTATACAAAGTGTAATTATCGAAGAGCATAAATACGATAAAAATGAGTGATATCACTGCTATGAATTACAGCAAATTCATCCATTTGGCATATAACGAAACATGGTGTGTGGATTTTTTAATTGCATCTAACGTTTTCAAGGACAAAATTAAATGCCCGAAATGTTCATCAGAACTGAATGTAAATCGGGAAACGTTGATGTTTCGATGCAGAAAATCCATCACCATGTCCGTTAATAAAAAGGAAAAGAAGAAAATGCAATGCAATTTTTCACAATCGATTACGAATGGTACGTGGTTTCAAAACGTGCATTTACCACTTTCTTCGGCATGTACTTTCATCGCCCATTTTCTTTGATTGCCAGTTCCAAGATGGGACTTCGTCAAAAGCGATTTAAAATTAGGAGCAGAGACAATTGTTAATTGGAGTTCCTTCTGTAGAGAACTTTGCGTATACTGGGCTGAAAAACATTCTCAACAGTTGGGTGGGCCAAATGTTATTGTAGAGATCGATGAAGCAAAATTTGGGAAACGAAAATATAACCGAGGTCGATTAGTGACAGGTAAATGGGTGTTCGGAGGATATGAACGAGGTACAAAAAAGGTATTTCTCGTTCCTGTTATAGAGCGAACCAGCAAAACACTTTTACAGTGTATTAAAAATTGGATCCTTCCTGGAACGCACATTATGTCAGATAAATGGAAAGCGTATAACTGCTTATCCGATGAAGGTTTCGTCCATCTGTCCGTCAACCACAGCCTAAACTTCATCGATCCAGACACTGGTGCCCATACTCAAGGAATTGAGCGCACTTGGCGAGAAGTTCGCGCAAACGTCTCGAAATATGGAACGAAGGAAGAGAATCTCCATACATATTTAGCTGAATACTTGTTTAAAAGAGCACATTCTCGAACCGAACGCATTGATGTTTTTTTTCAAATTAATCAGCGAATTTCAAACTACTCTGGCAACAAACAAGCAAGTCGAAAACGTTGATGATCCATCTTTGGATGATTAAAATAAAAATTAATCGCGTGCACAGAACACACACACACACATACACACATAGACACAACATGCACACATACACACATACGATCGCACGCATACATATATACCTACACACAAACATTTACACATGGAATGCACGGTCGCTAGCCTCCCCGTGGCGCATTCTGGGTACGTTTTCGTAGCTAATAGTGACATTAATTCGATTTAACTTTAATAAAACCTTGAAGATTAAGGTCCTACGGGGTGCTTGCGTGCTGGGGGGGCTCCGCCCCCAGATCCCCCGTTTTTATACTAGCCTAATCTCCAACCAACAGATATTACTCATAATGAATCCCACATGAAGTATGTTTCCATATAATTATCAATTCGTAGGCTTATAGAGCGCTAGACTGGTCATTCTTATGCTCATCCACTTTCATCGCTGTTTTACGTGCTTTCTTTTGCGATTATGAAAAAAATGCATAGAACTTTTTTTATAGAGAATTATATGCTCTACATTTTCTGTTTGACACATTTTTTTGTCACATTCGTACTTGTCAAGATAAATATAAAAAAATCAGAAAAAATGTGTTTTTCAGCGGGTTTTTCAAGATAGCGAGTTTAATATGTCTGACCGCCAAATTTTACCATCATATTCGAATTCGGGAGGCAAAAATACATCGGAAACACATAGTTACGATTTTTTTTCGAGGGAGGACGTTTTTCCGAAGGTTTACCAAATATCACAACAAAACATAACAATATGTTTGAAATACAATAGTTTAAAGCTTAAAACAATATTTTTTTTGTGACTTTGTACATTTCAACATATTCTTATTCTCTCGAACATATTTGTAAAATTCTTGACAAATATCTGTCTCGTCACTGACGACACTGATGACGGTGACGTCAATGACAATGACCAATTTGCAGTGTGGACTGTGGCGTGTGATATCACTAAAATCGGGACAAATAGCGTCCCGCTTAGGGTCGGGACGTCTTTAAAAGAGTCGAAAATCGGGACTTCCCGTAAAATTCGGGACGGTTGGCCACCCTATTTGTAGCAGCGAGTTGCTGCTGCAAATTCTTTATTTCAGCTTTGAGAGCTGCTACTTTGTTTGAGGTGTCAGTATTACTGCAAAAGGAAGTAACATTTTTGTTACAGAAAGTTTATTAAATAAAAATAAAAAATTATTATTTGTGAATATATAATAATACTTATATTTCCGTTTCCTCTTCCATTTGTTCTTCTGCAATCCTGTATTATAAGCTTTGCTAGTCGTATTAGGCAGTACGCACAGTCTTCTTCTTCTTCTTCTACTATATATTATTATAAATCTTCTTCTATTAATGGCTCCCGCCTCGAAAATATATAATAGGAGGTCGATACGGCCAGATCACGTCTCAAAAGTAAATCGTACATAAGGAAACGAAAGGGTGATGCAATGCCCGCGAAAATGCAATAAACAGATATTAGCGCCAGGCGCCAGTGTTACTATACCACAGTATATACAGTAGCGCAACTCTGCTGCTTTTATGTAGCACAAAATGGAGTGCGCATGCGCGAAATAAGTAAAGCCCGAGACACAATGCGAAGGAATAGCGATAGCGATAAGTTTCAACCTATCAAAAATATGTATTCCGATGTATTCTGATAAGTTGAAATTTATCAGAAATCGAATACACCGGAATACACATTTTTGATAGGTTGAAACTTATCGCTATCGTTCTTCCCTCGCATTGTGCCTTGGGCTTTACTTTCCATCTTTCTAGCTACTCTAGCTCATTTGCGACTGCATTTCGTTTCACGCTACGCTCATTATGTGCATTACAATTATGAATCTATTTCTTTTATTTGTTTTATATTTCGATAAATTTGATGTACATAAAGGCTGGATCCGTTTCAGGCATATGCGCGCATTTCAGGTGCGTTCCGAAATTAGTGGATCGCCAATCGCAGAATTATTCTGTTAGATCTGTTTGCAAAATCCGCGATTCGCTTCATGGATTGCACCCTTAGGGCGGATTCACACCTTGACGGAAAAACGGAAAAGCAGTAGCCAATCAGGTAGTCGACTTTCTGTTAGTTTTGTACTATTTACTACCAGCGCGAGTTTTGATCGGTTAACTGCTATTCCGCTTTCCGTTTTTCCGTCAAGTTGTGAACCCGGCCTTAGGCTGAGTTTTCACTCAGCGCGTTACGCGTCGTGTCGTTGAAGGAGAGAAAGAGGGATTGTTTAACAGTGTCACCAAATTTTTTTTAAAAAAGAAGGGTAAATGTTAAGAAGACCCCGTTCACCTCAAATTTTAATAAAAGTATACTCGATCGATGCGTTTTTGCACGAAACGAAAGAATCTGGCAAAAAAAATCGCTCTGCCTTGCGAACCGAGATATTAAGGTGCCTTTTCACGAACTGGAAAGGCTAGTTTCAGCAGCTCATGAAAAGGCACCTTTAAGCGTTAAAATTGACGACTATTCAGGAAATCTGTCACAGCCGCGAAATACTGCGTTGTGAGCTTGCGCTGCGGTCATATTTTCATGTTCTATGATCATGTGCGCATGTGTATTAGGCCGGAATCAGACTACGCATTGAAGATTGAGATTGAAGATTGAAAGATTGAATTTTGACTAATCAAAATAATAGGAGTTAAAATTTCTTTATCCTCATTAGTTAAATTTCAATCTTCAATCTTCAATCTCAATTTTCAATGCGTAGTCTGATTCCGGCCTTAGGTAAATTCATTGCTTTATGGCTCCCGCAGACAGAACGCGGAAACATTTGCCGCGCGGCGGAAGTTGGCACGATAACCAATCAATATCTTGCCGGCGAGATGCTGATTGGCTATCGCGGCAACTTCCGCCGCGCGGCAAGCGTTGCCGCGTTCTGTCTGCGGGAGTCATTACAAACCAATTCACTGCTTTACAAACAAATGCACTGCTTTACAAACAAATTAACTGCTTTACAAACAAATTCACTGCTTTAAAAACGAATGCACTGCTTTACAAACGAATGCACCGCTTTACAAACAAATTCATATCACTACTTTAAAACAAAAAAAGAGATTTATTTTGAGAATGGTGAATCTGTTCGTAAAGCAGTGCTTTCGTTTATATTTTGTAAAGCAGTGCTTTCGTTTATATTTTGTAAAGCAGTGAGTCAGCGAATTTACCTAATACACAAACACATGCGCATATGACCATAGAGCATGAAAATATGACCGCAGCGCATGCTCATACCACAGTATTTCGCATCTGTGGTCTAGTTTCCACCGTAAAGGCTTAAACACAATAGGCACAGGCAATAGGCACAGGCAACAGGGAATAACGAGCCGTCCAATCAGAGCTCATGTTAGTTCAATGTATATATTCGCATACATAACCTACTCATTGATGTTGGTTTTTTCGCAATGGATAATCATTTTGAAAATAATGTATTGTTATTTATTGTTACTGCGCAAATACTTGGGCTAGGATTATACGCTATGAGGAGAAAGAAAAAAAATAAGTACTGGATCAATAGAAGGTGGTGGGTACGACCTATAAATGTGAAGCGTAGCGAGTATGGCGATTTCGCAACGCTTTTTGCAGAGTTGAAAGAAGATGCTGATCTCTTCTTTCGATATACCAGGATGAATGTGGATATATTTAATGAGCTTCTACAAATGATTAGACCATACTTACAGAAAACAAGCTTGAGAACTCCGATTTGTCCAGAGCAGCGACTTGCGATAACATTAAGGTAAAATATGATAATTGTGTTAGGTATTATTTTAACATTTTATAAATATATTTTAATATTTAATGAAAGTAAAATAATAAAATAATTAATTTTTTAATTCTTTCAATTCCAAAAATTGGCTTGTAGATATTTGGCAACTGGCGATCAAGTACTATCAGTGGCTCTTGCTTATAGAGTAGGAGAGTCTACTGCTCATAAAATTATAAAGGAGACATGTGAAGTGTTAGCCAAAGTTCTAATGCCATTATACATGAAAGCCCCTTCAGAAGATGAATGGAAACATATCAGCAAGGATTTTTTAGCTGAATGGAATTTACCGAATTGTATCGGTGCAATAGATGGTAAGCACATAACTTTACAAGCACCAAGAAACTCTGGATCAATGTATTTCAACTACAAAAAAACGTTTAGCATCGTGCTGATGGCTGCTTGCGATAGCAAATATAAATTCACTATGTTCGATGTTGGTGCATTTGGTAGTGAAAGTGACGGAGGAATCCTTTCTAGATCAATATTTGGCAAGGCTTTATATGAAAGTAGTTTAAATTTTCCGAAAAGAAAAGTACGTCTACCTGGTTCTGAGGAAAAAACATATTTATATTTCGTTGGCGATGAAGCCTTTCAAATGACAGTAAATATGATGCGACCTTATCCAGGAAGAAATCTGAACGAACAGAAAAAGATTTTTAATTATCGCTTATCGCGTGCTCGAAGGACGATCGAAAATACGTTTGGAATCCTTGTGTCTAGATGGAGGATCTTTCGCAAGCCGATATGTTCAAGCCCAGATGTTGCTGTTAAATTCGTTGTAGCAGCAATGTGTTTACATAATTTTTTGAAAACAAAAAATGATGAAAAATCACCACATCATCAAAGGTATTGTCCAAGTCAGTATGTGGATCGAGAAACTAACGAAGGAAATGTAATTTCAGGCGAATGGAGAGATCAGTTAGAGATAAACAATTTAAGAAATTTAACTACTAGTGCACATCGAGCTGCTAGAGAAGCATATGAAATGCGAGATATGCTCTCTTCATATTTTTTAACTCCTACAGGTGAGGTACCGTGGCAGTACGAATACATACGACGTGGACAATATCATGATGTGACGTAAGAATAATAGTAATAATGACTCTTTAACGATCAAAACAATAAGAAAACGTGCATCTAGAAGTCGAGTACGGATTATTTTTTGTAATATTAACAAATATGATTTATTTTAAAACTTATAAAGGTTTACACTTTAAAACTTATGATTTAATTTATCTTTCTATTATGTACGCTCATATTTTATAATATAAGGGTTTACGCACAATAGGAGAAATATTAGGAACAGATATTAAATATAAGAATTTTAACCTATCAGAACTGTGTACTGTGGAATGTACGCTTTCTGACAGGTTGAAATTCTTATATTTAATATTTGTTCCTAATATTTCTTCTATTGTGCGTAGGCCTTAAGTATTTATAATAATATAAATATTTTATAATATAATATGTTTATAATATAATAAGTATAAGCTTATACATATTTTATTAATGGATGATTTCCGACAATGTACACAGACGAAAACTATAATATAACAATATAATAAAACAATACTTGTGTCGATTGTCTTCTAAAAGAAAAGCTGCTTATTATTCATTATGTGAGTACATAATTTCCAAGAACTTCCTTTTCAAGGTACTCTTCATTGGCTCCATTGTTCTTTTTAGCTCCGCTGTCACAAGTTTACCGATGATCACATCCGGATCCTGAATATCACTATCGTTTTGATTTTGGACAATTTTAGATGCTACTGTATTAAGCGTAGTATTCATTTGGCAAAAGGCTGTTTCTACAGCGTCTTTAGGCCTTTTTGAAGGTCTTCTCGTTTCAGTGAAACAAGATAAAGGCGTATTTAACGTTTTCGCCGAAGTCAATGGCTCGTTTATTTGTGGAATTGGCATTCTGGGTGGTGAAGGAGCAGATGATGGTCGTATTGGTGAAGGTGTCGCTCTTAGCATTGGTGAAGGTGTGGATCTCAGCATTGGTGAAGGTGTGGATCTCATCGATGAAGATGTCGATTCAGGTGTCAATTGCACAGATGCTGACGACTAAAAGAAGTTAAATTTATAAACATAAATGTCATTTGTATTATACTTTTTAAAGTCTTACTATACTATTCTAAAAATTACTTACAAATGAAGATTGATTTGCATTAGATATATTAGAATACTGTACAGACGAGTTACTTTGATTATGTTGATATTGTGCTAATAACGGAGTGAATGATTGCATCTGTGAAAACGATGATGGCTGAAAGGAAATTAAATATATGAATTGTTCATCTTATGCATATATATTTATTATTAATTTGATATTACAAATATAAAACTCAGAATTTTTTTGCGTACCTAATATATATAACAGTACTTACATGCATAGATTGCATTTCCTGTCCGTTGTTGCCAAAACTAAACTGCTCACTTACAGAGCGTAATTCCATCTAAAAACAAGAAATAAATTGTATTCGTACTTTTTAAATAATTTACAATGTATGGTTGGTACACATTGAATATAACCATTATTTAAACCATAACTGTATTAGAAGATTCTAGTATGAGATATAATGTGAATATACTGTGTATAATATATTAAATAGATCAAAATATAAATGTGTCACATATATGAATATATGTATGTTCTTCAAAATATTATAGACAAAAATACAAAGGTTTTCTAAAAATGAAATATTCTTTACGTGACATTTCTACTGATGTTGCTACCACACTATAATGGTTAAATTTATTGTATACCGATCTATAGTTTATTTTAAAAATAATAATTTCTCTCTCTCGTACATTAGCTTTATCACTATGTATTTCATCATACGTTTCATTTTGTGCAGGCTTTTGCACAAAAGATTGAGTATTCATACACGAACTGACTTTTTCGGTAACATTAGAATAAGTTCTAAAATCATAAAAATAAGATATGTATATATATATATAAACAAAGTTTATAAAATATATTAAATTAAAAGTCTATAATCTTTCTTATATATAAAACATGAAATTAACCTTCTTGGAGTAACAATCTTCTCTAAAAAACTTAAGTTATCGAATAGAACCCATTTTTGTCTTTTTGGTTTTCCTGCCCCACTTCTCGTTTCATTTTCTCGTAGTTGCCTCTCCTTACTAAAGCGTTGCCGAAGACGTAACCAACGTAATTGACAGTCAGATACTATATAATATGCATAAAACATTGTCATCATCATTCATAAATTGTAATGCTAGCTACAATTTAAATAAAATTAGATTTAATAAACTCTTTTTCTTAATATTTAAGAAAAAAAAATTTTCAGCAGGAAAAGTATAAATAAACGACTGATCTAAATGTTAATTTACTTTTTATATTAACACATATACAGCAAAAAAGATAATTGATTTAGGTAAATATACTATAATATTAGAACTATTTAAATAGCTTATTTATATTAAACGAGTAATATTCAATATGTACTTAGTTATATTAAAAAAAATGATTTAAAAAATATATTCAGTTTAATTGTAATGTATGTACCTGAAACTTCTAAAATAGAAGATATCTCTGCCCATGCATTTTCTTTCATTTGAATATCTCGATATTCTTTCATTTTTTTATCATAAAGAAATGGACGAGATCGGATTAAATCTATTAAAAGATCGTCCCCATATTTTTGATTCTGTGTGAAAAATTCTACATCCAAGCTGTCTTCGTTTTCTAAAATGCTAGTATCCTCCATCGAATCGTCAAATTTCCTTTTTTGGCAGTATTCGTGATTAAATATCATGTTTTCCTTGAACTAAACTTTTGCCAAAACTATATTCGCGAATGAAATTTCAAAACAGTAGATAAACAACAGGCAACAGGCAGGCAACAGGAATAGGTAATGAGATTCCAACACGTTGAAAAACTGTTCTTATTGCCTATTCCACGTGTGTGTCTCCCATGCATGTTTGTAGTGGTGAGCTTGTATTAATATGGGTTATGTATCGCATTTATATCCTGAGCTCTGATTGGACAGCTCTTATTCTCTGTTCCCTGTTCCTATTGCCTATTGTGTTTAAGCCTTAACCCTCAATTCGGTTCTACTACGGTATAGATCAAACTTGGTGTACTGTTTCCATTGGAAGTAGAATTGAAGTGAATAAGATTTGTTGTTTCAGTAGAGCCAACTTAATTTTTGCTTTCATGAATATGACAAACGTAACTTCTAAACACTACAAACAATCACTCGAGTAAAAAGAAAATGGGTATTAACACAATTTTGTTAAATTATCAATTAATTGCATCAAATATAATTAATCAGTGTACTTTAGCAATCATACAAACACATGTAACATTCTGGCAAAATATATTAAAAATGCAAGGCAATAATACAAAGGTATTACTCATGATGCTTAAAGATCTAAAGAAAATAAATCGATCAAAAAGAAGATTTTGGATGAAAACTCGCAGTAAACATTGGTGGAAAATAATAGTACCTAATCATTTTTTAAACGAAGATTGGATTGAAAGTTTCAGAATGAAACGTACTACTTTTCAATTTATTTGTGATGAGCTGCGATCAGAACTTTGTCCTGCTACTCCATTTTTGGTTTCTAGAGAACCATTGAGTGTGGAACTAAAAGTGGCTGTAACATTATATTATTTAGCAAGTTGCTGCGAATATCGTGTAGTTGCTAACATTTTCGGGATTCATAAAACATCTGTATGGAGATGCCTTCATAATACAGTTGATGCTATTAACAAAATACTTTTGCCAAAGTTTCTAAAAATGCCTGATGTTAATGAATGTGCAAGGATATCTGCAGCATATGAGCTCGTACAAATATTCCATAAGTAATAGGTGCGATTGATGGTACTCACATCCCTATTCTACCACCTGCAGATGGTTATAAAGATTATATCAACCGCAAAGGATGGCCATCTATTATACTTCAAGCGGTAGTAGATAATAACTTGAGGTAAAGTAATATTTACTTTTCACATGTAACAATAAATCAATATTGATTAATTAATTATTTTATTTTAATAAGGTTTATGAATGTCAACTGTCAAGCTCCTGGATCTTGTCATGATGCAGCTATATTTAAAACATCTATGCTGTATAAAGAAGTAGAACGGATCATTCCAAGGGTATATTTTTAAAAATTAATTTACTTTGCAATATTTTTGGAAAATAAAATTTTCTCAATACCTATTTCAGAAAACGAAGTTAGTTAATGGTGTTGAAATACCATATTTTTTGATTGGAGATCCAGCATATCCATTACTACCTTGGCTAATGAAAGGATATACAAAAGTTACACGTTTAACTCCACAAGAGGAATCATTTAATGTTTATTTGAATAGTAACAGAGTAGATATTGAAAGAGCGTTTGGACGTATTAAATCACGATTTCGTTGTTTATTAAAACGTATAGATTTACATTATACCAGTGTGCCTAAAGTAGTAATCGCATTTTGCGTATTACATAATATTTTGGAATTTAGAAATGAACCAATTTTACCTCATTGGAAGGAATCAGTTGAATCATCTGAAAATATATTTCCTCAACCTCTAAGAAATGAATGTAGAACATATGATTATTATAATGCGTCCAATATACGAGATGCTCTATGTAACTATATGACACAGTTTCCATTAAGAAAATCATATCAAATTACGTAAAGGAATATGAAAACATATTAAATCTTTATCTAATCTTTTTTTTCTTTAGTATTTGATTTAAAGGCACGTTTGGCTGTAAGAACATTATCTAATATGTCACGAGTGCTAAATTGCACAAGTGACAATTGTGCCATAACCAAGAAATAATATATTAAGAATAATATAAATTAATAATACGAATCGAGAACGCAACTCGATTGCGCGATCACGCCCTCGACCGATTACCGGAACGCGCGGCGAAATAAGTTTATTATAATATTAAAACCGCGAGCGCGACGCGATTACGCGATCACGCCCTCGACCGATTATCGGAACGCTGACGAGAAGCGCCGAATTAGAAGGTCGCAGACCTCAATAAATATGAGAAGACCGAAGCAGAGTAGAGTCAGCAATTTTAACAAGTTGTAGCGCGTCACTCTGCTCGAATACGATCTTAAAGTTATATCGCGACACGTGTAGTGTAAGTGATTTGTGTGAAATAATATCTTTGTGTATTAAAGTGAATATAATAAAGTTTATTAATATATAAAAGTTACAAAAAAAAATAAAAGAAGTGATTATTTAATTGCTGCTCCCGAATCCTTGGTGGATCCCGAATCCCGTGTCGCAAATAGCGGCACAACAAATAATTCAACTAAAATTATCACATAACATCACAGTACATTCAGGCTTTCTACTTCATTTATGACTACCGCTATATAAACTTAAATTAAAAACTTCGTTTACAAAAACTTACAAAACTTAAATTAGTTTCCACCCAGACAGCACACATATGCAAATATCTAAAACTGGCGCATAAGATATCTTAAAATCACATCTTTAAAATTACCTATTTAAGTATTATATACGCTTTATATGCGCCAATTTAAACTTGTTTGCATATGTGTGCTATCTCTGGGCATTCTTTTGTAACAATTTAATATTTAAATTTCCTTAAACAATAAAATGACTTATCCTTTAAAAAAAATAAAATTTGTACTGAATAAGTAGATATAGTAGGCCGGTTCTAATCCACTATGTGTTAGTGCGTGTATGTGTATGTGTGTGTGTGTGTCTGTGTGAGGGGGCAGGGAGGGGGAAGTGCACACGGATACAGAGCCGCCACCAGGTGGCGTTGGTGTCGCGCCGGGCCCTAGAAGAAAGAGGGG